CCTGATGCGTGCACACATATGAGAGTGCTGGGCTCAAGCCCCTGGTTGCAGGCCAATATCAGATTTATGTTTCTATTCCTCTCTGTGGCTAGTGCAGCGTTTTGCATGTAATAGCTTAAGAAGAGTTTGTTGAAGGACGGGGCAGGTGTCCTTGGGCCCGCTGCTCCAGGGTGGGCCTCCCAACTCTGGCTCCAGCTTTCAGCCAGTGAGCCCTGCTCAGCAGCAGCTCAGGCAGCCTCCCTTGTGGTTGTGCTGCCTGCTGAACCCTCCAGGACCCATCAGGACAACTTTCCCTGGCTCATTCCATTGGGTGGGAGCCCTTGGAAATCATCAAAACAATTCTCGTTTCCTCCAAGATGCTGCATGTGTCAACCACACAAATCAATCCTTATCCCTCAATTTCCCTTGTGTCTTCCCTAAATCCAGCCTTTGCTCCAGGTCTTTCCTCTTCCTGGACTGCCCATCCTGGCCCTTTCTGTCTGTCCCAAGTTTTAGCCATGTTATAAAGTCTAACATTAATACCGCTTTATTCTGGAGACCCCTTCCCGAAACAGAGAGGTCATATTCCCATAAAACATTATTTGAGTCTCTACCAGCAGTAGAAATGATGTAGCTACTGTCTGCCTCTTTGGCTGTGCCCTCTTCACAAAAGTCTCCTGGCAGGTAGGTACCCAGTCCCTGGAACACAGATTTGCACATAGTAAGTGCTCACCGGATAGGTCTAGTCTGGTCTCCTGCCAGTCCGGTTGCAGGGTTTAGGCCACAACGTGTTTCCCACCAGTAATCTAAAGTGCTTGCTTTTAATAGCAGTGTGAGAGAAATGAATTGTTTTCAAGGGTGTTTTTTTTTAGTGACGGTTCTTTAATGGGGTCCTTGCTGCCTTGAACTCTTCCGGTACTTCAGTTTTATAGTTATTGATCTTTGTGATCATAAAAGTGACATGATTATTGTAAGAATGTGGGAACATTATAGAAATGTGTGGCTTGGAGGGTACAAGCATCCGTGCTTCAGACAGAACCTCTGTCAACGCCTGGCATAGGTTCCTTCTTCTTGGTTGTTCCTTGTCGTTTTGTCCGCTGTCCCCAAAGATGGGGGCTGATGACCCAGCTCTCCTGGCCAATACCAGCCTCTGGTGTAGTGGCAGGGGGTGGGAGGGCAGTGTTTGCTATTACTTGACTTGAGAGGGTGGACTACCTCAAGGAGTGGGTCTTCCGAGGGCAGCGGCAGTGCCCTGAGACATAGCAGCGTGTAGTGGGGAAAGTATGGGCACTGCCATTTAGAACCCAAGAGAACTGGGGCTGATCCATGGACTTCCTGATTTATGCAATGGGACCAGCCCTGCCTGTTTCAGACAGAGACCATGGATGGGAACCCACTCTAAACTCCAAATTCTATGCTATCATTTTGGAAAAAAAAAAAAGGTTTTGAAAAATTATTCTTGTTACTGCCTAACAGCTCCCTTGGAGTTCTAGGCCGGTAGACTTGGAGATTTAGTCCTAAGGGTTAGAATTTCATTCTCGTTATTATGCATGCACATACGTGCAGATACACATGCACACACACACACACCAGCCCAATGATGGGAGCTGCTGTGAGCTTTGCAGGTGGACATGGGTGACACTGTCCAGGAGCATGAGCTCTGGAAATGGCTGACATCTGTGTCTGGGGCCCTCCAAGTCCCTGGCAAGAGCAGAGAGTAAACTAAAGCAGCGTGGGCCTGTCTGTGGCAGCACTGCTTGCTTTCCCTTTAGAGAGAGGGCCAACTCCTGGCCCCATCAGAGTGGTGGGGGTACTGATTCTGTCAGGCCCCCACCTACCACTCCTTCTGCACCGCCATGCCCCACTGGGAGGAGGGGGTGAATTTCTTGTGGGGTCTTCAGGGTGTCAGGGAAGGATGCTGTGCAAAGCAGTGATGGGGTGGGTGGCTGGAAGGCTGGGGAAAGCTGTGCTCGGGCAGCAAGAGCGATGTTGAAAAGAAGAGGAGGCCTTGAACCGATCTGGCCCATTCCCCATTCTCTGCAGATGTGTTTCCGGCATGGCCGCACCTTCAGATTTGCTCTCTTCTGGGCCAGAGCGGCTTCAGCAGGCAGGACTTTCATCCAGCTCCTGACACGGTCTCTGTGCCTAAGTGGAAGAAGAGGTGGGGCTGCCTCGAGAAGAGCTTGGTTGGGGGACTTCTCTGGGACCGAGGGGCGAAGACTTGGTGTGGTCCCTGCTCTGGCCCAGACTCTGTATGTTTCTGTACTGGCACAGTCCTTGTGAAGGCGGGGAGAGGGGAGGACCTAGGAATTGGGGTGTGGCTGGTAACTATGCTTCCTCCTGGGGAATCTTCCCCTGGACTTGGGCCACCCGGCTGTTTGGGTTCTTCTCCTGCCCCTCTGACCCCTAAGCTTTCCTTCCTTCCCAGAGGCAGTGGGGCTACCAGTTAAGACACTCGGCTTCTAGAGGCTGCTGCCTGTGTTCCAGTCCCAGCTTTGCCTCTTCTTGGTGACACTGGACAAGTCATTTAACCTCCGTGCTTTAGTTTCTCCATATGTAAAATGGCAATCATGATAATAGTACCTATCTCATTGGGCTGAGAGAATTTAACTGTTCATACACGCAAGATGCCCAGAACAGTGCTGGCCTTAAGTGCTATCCTGTGTGTTAGCTGTTGGTACTTTTTCTGTCATTTTAGGGGGCCCCTCTCATTTTCAACCCCTGCACAAAGGAACACAGGAGAATAATTTAGTCCTTGACCCCTCTTCATTTTCAGAGAGGTCACGTTCACTCTGAGGGCTCTAACCATTACAAAGATCTAGAAGACTCTGCAATTTTTTTATCCCCAAATGTTTTTGTGTCATTATAAAAGAAATACAGGCACATGGGATCAAATCTGGAAAATATATTTAAAATAAGGATACAGAAGAAAATTTAAAAATTACTGTTAATATCTTTACCGAGAGATCACTACTACTTATATTTTGGTATATGGCCTGTCTAGTTTTTATACATGTGTGTGTGAATACAATACCCAGTATAAACCCAGTTTTGTTTTAAAAAGGCAAAAATGCATATAATAGTATTGTTTATATTCTGCTTTTGTCACCAAATATTATACTGTGAACGTTTTCTAATGTCCTTAAATATCCTTTGAAAATATCCAAATTCTTTCCCCAGCTTCAAAATTGCACATCCATCTGTGGAGGCACTTGGGCATCTCAGACTCATGTGGCCAGAGACAAGCTTGGTGCCACGAGGTGTAGGCTCTTCCCTGCCACCCTGCGTTGTTCTGCCCCACAGCTCAGTGCCTGACCCTCCTGTGCGGCTCACTTGCTGGTTGTGTAATGTCAGCCTCTTGTGTCTCCTCCTCGAGCTTGGTGCCACGAGGTGTAGGCTCTTCCCTGCCACCCTGCGTTGTTCTGCCCCACAGCTCGGTGCCTGCCCCTCCTGTGCGGCTCACTTGCTGGTTGTGTAATGTCAGCCTCTTGTGTCTCCTCCTCACCCCATCCCCACAACTCTACTTCCCATGCCAATCCCCTCACACCTTGACTCTGTTAGCACTAATTTTTGTTTCACGTGCAGTTTGTATTTATAGGAAATAACGTCTGAGCCTTCTCTGTGGCTTTCCTCATCTCTGGCTTCTCTGGCTGCAGCCCATCCTGCCACACTTCTGCAGGACAGTCTTCCTGAAGCACACCCTGCCGTGTCCTATGACCTGCGGGGTTTCCTGCTCTGCCTCCCCTCACCCCCCTGACCACTGTGTCCAGTCTGGTGCATCACAGGTGCTTCCATCTGGCATTTGAGGGCCCTCCCATGACACACCCATTTCGCCTGCTTGGGCATCTCTGCACTGTTTCGTGCACTCTGTGTCCCAGCCACGCTGTGGCCTGATGGCACTCCTGTCTTGGCAAGTTGCTCAGGCTGTTCCCATTGCTCAGCATGCTGTCACCCCCTGTCCCCTTCTGGATTTCTACCACCCTAAGGCCCCTGTCCAAATGGGCATCTGCCCTGGCAAGTTTTCTAATTGTTCCCAGGTGGATATGCTTCTTCGAGCCTTTGAACCCTACACACCTGGCTTGTCCTTCCCTGAGGTACTTTGCCGGTTAGAATTACTGGCATGCTTTGCCTGGGTAGCTCAGAGGAGCAGGGTCTGGAGTGAGACTGGCCTTGCTTGAGTCCCAGCTTTACTACATTCCAGCTGTGTGACCTCGGGGACTCAGTTTTCTCATCTGTAAAGTGAGAGCTAATACTGTATCATGACTTAAGATCAAAAGATGCATTCAAAAGTTTAGCATTGTTTCTGGAACGTGGGGAGAGTTCAAAAGCAGTGATTTGATAATAATTCATGTCCAGTCCTCTTCTTTTCGCTTCCTTGGGGCCACCCATGGAACCTAGCCTGATCTCTGATGGTGCCAGAGGCTGTCTGAGTCCTGGAGAACTGACTTGAACAGAACTCAGGTCTCAGACCATTGACCTGATGGGAGATGAGGGGCATTGGGGGTCCTGTTTCTGTATGATTTGGGTATGGTCCCACTGCCTTGGCTGTGACAGCTGAGGTAACTCCCTAGTCACCTCTTCCTCTGGAGTTAGGTGTATGAGGCCTCTTTCATGCCATCTGTTGGGTTTCTCCTGAAGCTGACCCAACCAGTGCCCAGATGCACAGAGGAGATTAGTTAAAAGAGAACTTAGGGCAAATCCAGGGAAGCTCAGGCAGCAGCTGTGAAAGAGAGGAGTTTCCCTTGACCCTTATCTGTCAAGGAAAGTCTTTTGCTGACCCCCTAATATAGGGGGTAGGGTGGTCTGGGGCAGCATCTTGTGTAAACAGGTCAAAGTGCAAGATAAACTTTTAGACATCTCCGGGCTCCTCCCTTACATTCCAGCAGGGCTGCACTTCAAGCTGTTCCTGAAGATTGGGCCACCACCTCGCTCTTCTCCCACATTGACTAGGAACTTTTGGCTAGATAGTGACCACCACTCCCCATTCCTATTTACAGCCTCTGCTGGTTTTTCGCTTGCAGCCAGGCGGCACTCCAGGGTCCGGCCCAAGATGACACTCCAGAACTATGCTTCCCCGATGACTACGGTCAGCCGGCCACTAAATGAGATGGCCCTGACACCGTTGACGGAGCAGGAGGGGGAGGCCTACCTGGAGAAGTGTGGCAGCATCCGGCGGCACACAGTGGCCAATGCCCACTCGGACATCCACCTGCTGGCCATGGCCACCATGATGCACTCGGGCTTGGGAGAGGAGGCTGGCAGTGAGGACAAATGCCTACTCCTGCCGCCCAGCTTCTCCCCGCCCCACCGGCAGTGCTCCAGTGAGCCCAACATCACTGACAGCCCCGAGGAACTGGAGGAGGTGGCAGGGGGCAGCCGGAGGGGCTCAGAGCTGAACTGTACATCCCTCAGCTGAGTCTCTGCCTCGGGACTTCCCGGCCTCTGCTTTGTTACCAGGATGAAGACAGCTCCATCCTCATGGACCACAAGGGACTCCTTCTTTGGGAAATGCCTCCTTATTTCTTTTAGAGTACAGGCCTAGCCTTTATGTCCTGGGGGAACCCCTATTGTAACCCTCTTCATTTTGGTGACTGTGACCACCTCTTTGTGGCCACACATACCCAATTGACTACTGGTCACTCTGTCATTTCCAGCCTTGCCTGCCTGGCTCAGATCCTCTTCTCTGGGCCTTTTCCCCTCAGATATTGGACTGCCCCATGCTCCCATAGATAGATCCCAGTGCCCCTAGCATTATTGTAGCAGGAGGTTGTCAGGACCACACACAAAACCAACAGGGACGTGTTGGCCTGTGGAGTTCCCCTTCAGGTTCCTTGTGGTACAAAAGAGGTAGAAGAGAGGTGACTTCTCTCCCCTGTTCTGTGTAAAGTGACAGTGGACTGCAGCCCCCTGCCAAGCATGGCTTGGGGAACGTGCCTTCCTTATTGTAGTTCCAGAACTACTGAGAGAGAGTTGGCCCACTTGTGGGTGAGTGTCCATCTTTGCCTGCATCCAGATCTATGTGCCGTTCCAGGAGGCTGCACGGCTGGAGCGGCCCTGTCTTTCATTGAGCCTTATCATGTCCCTCTCAGGCTTCCTTCCAAACTCAAGGAACTAACCTCTAGAGGAGTAGCTGGTTCCTTCATCTCTATTTCAGAAACTGACCGCTTTCCTATTGTGGGTATGAAGGGCCGGTTGATACCAACCAACTAGTCTGTACCTGGATTTAGCTTGAATTTTTAAAATGTGTATCGTTTCAAAAAAAAAAAAAATTGTTTGCACATGTTTTCATGTAGGATCTTGTACTGTTCATTTCCAATGGGGTGTGTCTTCAAACTCAAGAACAAGCAAACCCCTTGGGAAAGGAGACTGGGAGTGGTTCAGGATAAAATGATCTGCAGCGGGCAGGGCTCATATGCCACAGATCTCTGGAAGCAGCTGGATTTGAATCCAGAACAGCCTGTTTGTGAGTGTTGTGGTTTCTATGAAAAGCTGCATTGGGGTGGGGAGACTCAGTTTGCCTCATGAGCAGCAGACTGTAGCAAATGGAATGTGTCCATGCTTTACAGTGGGGGTAGATAGGGGAGATGTGGGCATGACCATCTGGAGGGATGTTTATTCCCTGTGATTAAAAAAGTGCCTGGAATTTCTAACATGTGAGGTCTCAAAATGCTTTTTGGAGCAGCAGACTTTAATACTGTGCCATGTCCTTAATACTGCTCCCTTCAGGTCTGGGGGCTTTTTATCCACCTTGAATCCCTGTCTTCCTCTTTGTATTTCTGTTGGCCCCACTGATAATACCTCCAGAAAAAAAGAGAAACCTCCCCCTGATCCTTCCTGTTAGCATTTATGAAATCTCAAAGACGTGAGCCACCTTAGCTTCCAGTACGGCAGGAGGGGGCTGGGAGAGGGTGAGAACCAGTTTAAGCTGCCATCAGGAGAAGAGACCTGCTAAACCCATCTAACTAAGCCTTGATGGTATTTCCTTTCTGGGTGAAGATCTGAAATGTGACCAGAGTTGTGCTTTTGATGGCTTGTGATTTGGAAATTTTGTCTAAAAAGCTGTTTCATTTTTATCCTTCTAAGAGAGTGGTGGAAGATAAATGTCCAAAGGAGATCTTCTGAGAATTTCAAACAAATAGTAATCTCTGTGTATGTGTTGGATAAAGTCCACAAATTGACTAACATGCATTAGCAAATGGAACATCAGTAGTTAGCAACATGATTTATTTAACTGATGGGTCTGTCCTTATTAGTACACTTAGCACTTGAGACTAGTATTTATTGATCCAGGCAAAGTCATTAATTATGCTTGGATTTACTTTTTTAGTTTACAAGGTTATCAATATATGTATATTTTTAAATGACTTTTCCATATCTTAGATGTCCCTGATGAGGAAAGCAGTCATCAGTTAAATATATAAGCTCTTCAACTGAGAAAGGGAGTGTCAGTAGAGACCCATTGTGCATTATTGCTGATGACCGTTAGGCAGTTTACAACTTTACCTTTAATGTACATGCTTGATGTTTGTAGAGTAAACAGACTATACATAAAAAAATCTTGATGTTTGTGGGCAATTCAGTCATCAGAGCTATTGCAGGAGTGTTAGCTATAGTGTTTTTAACCACTTTTTCTCCCCTTTATGAGATGAAATTCATTTTCATTATTTATACTAGGATTTTCCTGTGGTTGAGGTTTAATGACAGGAAGCAATCATGACTCACAACTCTAAGTGAGCTCACACACCAAAAACCTTTTATGTTGTCTGTTTCCAAAATGGATTCAATAAACATCATTTTGTACATGTTACCCTCTTCCCATGCTGGGTGCTTTAAGAATGTCTTGACTTAATTTGCAAGCAAAGAACTCAAATTAGATCTTGATGCATCCTGGCCTCAAGCTCCCCATTTTGTACATGTTACCCTCTTCCCATGCTGGGTGCTTTAAGAATGTCTTGACTTAATTTGTAAGCAAAGAACTCAAATTAGATCTTGATGCATCCTGGCCTCAAGCTCCCTGCACCCGCTTCTGCTTCCTCATCCCTTTTCCTGCTCTCTCCACACCAGGGTTAGGTAGCAGCCTCAGCTCAGCCAATCTCCCCTGGGTTTTGTTTACCATCCTGAACTGGATTAGTAAGTCATTTCCTGGAAAAACAGCCTGTCGGTGGAGCTTAGAAAACACTGAACAAAGTCTGAGAAGACAAGGCCTCTTCTAAAACCAGCTTGATCTCTCTTCCTGGAGTATCTGACCCAGAGGGAATACTTACTGTACTTACTCATAGACAGTCTCTTCATATATTCTCCTCTGATTCTGTTTGACAGAGGAAATTTATAATATTTTGCTCCCTGCATAAATACGCTCCTAGGAGGGGAATGCAGCATAAGTCTGAGATCTTGAAGGCTTAGTAAGAGCACTCAAAGAGGTGTGACCTGAACTGATTAACAGTCCTGTAGCATGTGAAGGGGGCGGAGGGTGGTGGACATTTTTGTTGAGCCTTCATAGGTAGTAACTATGGTAACAGCCACTAAGCATTGTGCCTCAGGAGGTTGCACACTGCTGGTACACCCATGACATATTAGTGCCCCACCACATCCATCCATCCATCCACTCTTCTACCCCTCACATATTGTGGAGCTCCCTCTGTGTGTGGGTAATTTTCTTGGTACCAGGGATATTGTGATGGACCAAGGTGCCCACTCTCTTGGA